ACTGCACTCAGAGATTTTTCACATAAACCTATTAATTATTTTAAAAAATAATTTACTTTCAATAATATATAATATTTCACCACAGTGATGCAGCTATTTACTTTAACATTCCTCCATTTTTAGGTATTTCATTTTGTTTTTAATTTTCTCCTATTATAATAAATTGATGATGAATACCTGATTATTTAATTAAAATACATGCCTAAAATGAAGTATCAGATAAAATTATAAGAAAATTTTGAGGTTTTTATGTTACCAAATTGTCATAAAAAATGATCTGTGAATTTCACCTTACCTCAGTAATATCTAAGAGCACCTGTTCTCCTTTGGCAAGATGGTTGTGCAGTAGTTGGAAACTATGCTCATCTCCTCCCAGAGCCAGTCTGGACTTAAAGCTCAATTATAGAGCAATCAACCTGAATAACCAACTGAAGTTTACCTGTATAGAAGTCTTATAACCAAGTATTTATAGAAGAAACCACATGGAGACTGGTAAGAGAGCTGTAGATCTGGAAAAGGCTGGCTCCCACACCCATGTGTGGCGGTTGAGAAACTGGAGGGATATCTAGGCTTTAAAAGTCCCCCATGAGGAGTATAGCGTCAACCCCATACCAGGTTTTCAAACCCAGAGCACCAGAGCTGGGAATAGGAGTCCAAATATCATCTGGCGATGAAAATCAGTGGGGACTCTGACTGCCTGGAAGAAGAAGGAGTCTGCTATAAACCTAGGTGCCCTTTTAAAGGGTCAGTGCACAGGGTGTGGCTCTGGTAGAGGTAAGGCAACTGAGTGAATATGGTAGTCATACAGAGAATATCCGACTGGACTGGCCCTAGGAGAGATCTGGAGGGTGAGCCACCAAGGTCCCTGTGCTGAGTTCCTATCCTACACTGCCCCCATATACCATCTTTCCAGGGTGAGTACTCCTATTCTTATAGGACCAACCTGTAAAGTGCACTAGCCTGGCTCTCCAACTACAGGCAACACCAACCTGCTGATTTTGAGTCCTGCAGAAAGGACTGCTGGTTGCATTCAATAGCATCTTTGGTATGCTCCTATTCTGGGGAAGGTTTTGGCAGAGGCTCACAAAGTCATTGAGCTGTGTAGCTTTGGAATAGTGGCCATTCTTCCTACACTCACATGCACAACTAGTGCCTGATCCACAAACCTGCTGATTCTTTTGGCCTGTACTTCCAACTCCCAGTGGCTCTGCGCAGTTAAGCTCAGTACCATAGGGGGATTGCAGTGCTGCTCAGACCTGGGATGTTCAGAGCAATTCTCCCTCAGAGGATCTTGTACAAGATTCAGATAGGCACTGGGTTGTGCAGCTACAGCCAGGGTGTCCATTCTTACCCACACCCAAAACCTGAGTCCAAAAAATATATGCACCCCTATGTACACTGTAGTGTTATTTACAATAGCCAAGATTTGGAAGCAGCCCAAATGCCCATTAGCGGATTAAAAAACTGCAGTACACTTATATAAGGGAATACCACTCAGCAATAAAAAAGAATGAAATTTTATCTTTTGTGACAACATGCATGGACCTAGAGGGTATTATGCTAAGTGAAATAAGCCAGTCAGAGAAAGAAAAATACTATATGGTTTCATTTATATGTTGAATCTAATGAACAAAAATAAACAAACAAAATAGAAACAGACGCATTAATACAGGGAGCAGACTGACAGCTGTCGGAGGGGGGTTTGGGAAGCTCTGTGAAATAGGTGAAGGGATTAAGCAAAAGAAACCAAACACACAAAACCATTCATAGAGATAGACATCAGTATGGTGGTTACCAGAGGAAAGGGATGGTGGGGGCAGGTAGAAGGTAAATGTGGGATAAATGGTGACTTAAGGAGATTAGACTTTGGGTGGTGAACACATAATAAAATATATACATGATGTATTCTAGAATTATACATCTAAAACCTACATAATTTTATTAACCAATATAACCCCAATAAATTCAATGAAAAACTTAAAATGGACATGTTTTCCATATATCCTTGCCAACACTAGGTACACTAATTTATACAAATTGGCTGCTTCAGTAGACAAATTTTATATTTTGGGATATTTTTAAAATTTATTTTTTAAAAATTTTTATATGTCTTTACTGATTTCAGAGAGGAGGGGAGAGGGAGAGAGAGATAGAAACATCAATGATGAGAGAAAATCATTGATCAGCTGCCTCCTGCACACCCCACACTGGGGATCTAGCCCACATATGCCCTGACCGGGAATTGAACTGTGACCTCCTGGCTCATAGGTCGACACTCAACCACTGAACCATGCTGGCTGGGCAATTTTGGGATATTTTAATTTGTATTTCTTTCTAGTGAAGTTGAACAAGTTTATGTTTGTTTTTAATTTTAACTTTTATTTTGTCAATTGTACCTTTGCACATTTTCTAATTGTTGTGTTTACCTTTATTTACTGCTTTCCAAAATTTTTGTAAATTAAGGATGTTACATTTTTGTTTTCTATATTTTCAAATTTCTCCAAGTTTTTCTTTTCATTTTGAGGAAAATATCATGTAGAATCAGTGTTTCTTTTGTGTAAAAATTATAGCAATAATTTTTATATACAAAAATTTGAGTCAAAATAAAAATATGTTAGCATTTGTTACTTCTAAGTTGTAAATAGTTGGGTAGCTTTCATACTTTAATTTTTAAAACTTTTATAATAAAACAAAGGAAAACATGTATAAAGTATCTAATAGTTTGGACATATATAATTCAACCATTCTTTTATTGATGTACACTCAGGTTGTTTTCTATTTGGAGCTTTTATAAACTTCACTATAGTAATTATCCATATACATTAAAATTTTTTCATATTTAAGTTTTGAAATGATTCTCCTACTCTTCATCCTATGTTCCCAAACGCATTTCTATTATCAGAATAAAACTGTTGTTCCCACAAAAAATAATCAGTTAATTCATTTTAACAAATTGCCCTGGGAAAAGCATTGATTAAAAGCAATTTTGCTTATTAAGGAAATCATATAAAAATATATTTTATGCCCTAACCGGTTTGGCTCAGTGGATAGAGTGTCAGCCTGCGGACTCAAGGGTCCCAGGTTCGATTTCGGTCAAGGGCATGTGCCTTGGTTGCGGGCACATCCCCAGTAGGGAGTGTGCAGGAGGTAGCTGATCAATGTTTCTAACTCTCTATCCCTTTCCCTTCCTCTCTGTAAAAAAATCAATAAAATATATATATTTTAATATATATATATATATATATTATGATTTAACATTTACTCAAGATGTTCTGAAAAAAAGTTACATGTTAATATAAATTTGGGTAAACTTATTCCACTTTTGGGGATTGACAAAGTTCCTTAGCATATTATATGTCCTGATAAGTACTGCACGAAAGACAACATTCCATGATCTGCACAGAATAAAATAAGTTTAGTCAAATAGTTTCATAGAGTTACTACATCCTCTTCTTGGAGAATTACAAAACTCATTTGTATACTACAAGTCTTGAGCATCCCTTTGGTAAAGGCAACTCTCTAATTTTGCTTATACAGGGTTTCCTAAATTTATTTCACCAGAGAACTGTATTCCTTTTTAACATCTGTTAACATGTCAAAGTGCTTCATAGACTATCCATAGTAAAATGTAAAAATAAAAAAATGTGAGAGGTTCACAGCATGGATAACTGAAATCCAAATACTATCATACAAGTTGTCTCACTTAAACATCAAACATTTCATCAGGTCTTTGGAGAAACAAACATTTAATTATTCTCTCTTTTTAACCTTTGATTGTAAGTGAAGGTACACAGTAAGTAAGCCAAGTCAGGTTTTTAAATATAGTGCCATAATGGTAAGAGTATGCTCTAAGGTCAGACAGACCTGGGTTGCAATCTTAGTTTAGCCACTTACTAGTTGGACAGGTAATATCTCTGGACTTCAGTTTTCTCATTAATTAAAATGGGTATAATAACATTCACTTCACAGAGTTTCTGTGAGGATTAAATGAGATAACACACATCAAGTACATAGCGAAGTGGCTGGCATATACAAGGTCTCTTACAGTATCTACGGTATACTGGTACACAGCAGGGTTTTATAAAGGAAAAAAGTGAAGACCCAAGAGTCCATAAACATATCAATAGGCTTCTGAATAGGTTTTCATGGGAATAAAATTGGAAAACTTATCTGATCAGAGCTTTGAACTCCATGGTATTTCTATCACTAAAAGTCTCCATTTACTGCTGAATTACACTAGGTTATTTAACCGTGAATGTTGCAAAGAGAAGGTTGTTTAGCTTTTCACTAGACCAAAGAGAATCCCGTGTGTAAGATTGCCTGCCATTGTGAATGAATTAGTAGCATTTTGGGAGAATTGGAGTGTAGGGATGGTACTTTTTGCCTGTGAGTGGATAAGAGTAGGTTGTTAACTGACATAATGGAGCCAAGCAAAAAGAACCTATTCATAATCTATATCATCTTAGAGGCCAAAATGCACCAGGACAAGATTTATAGTACATAGGTTGAAAGCACATAACCTGAATGGAATGTTTGGCTGTTTCTAGATACCTTGGGTGGTCTTTTTAGCCCAAGTGAATAGTGTGAGTTTACAGGAAATAAGGGCATCTTTTTCAGTACATCACACAGGGAAATTATGTCTAGAACTTCTACTTATGTGAATAATACAAGAGTGGAGAATTTAACATCTTGTTCACCAGGGTGAAATCTTACTCATTTGCTAGTACCTCCCAAGATTGCCTCTTAGCAGTCCAGGTGTTTCTCAGTGGATAGAGCATCAGCCCACACACTGAAGGGTCGGGGTTTGATTCCCAAAGGCACAGCCATAGTTGGGGTTCGTGTGGGAGGCAACCAATCGATGTGTCTCTCTAAAGTTGATGTTCCTATCTCTCTCTCCCCCTCCCTCTTCCCTTCCACATTATTTAAAAATCAATGGGAAAAAATATCCTCGGGAGAATTAACAACAACAACAAGATTTTAAAAAGAGAAAAGAATACTGACCTGTCTTAGAGATGCAGGAAATGTGAAAACTGCTATGTTTCTGTTTCCACTGCAAGAGATGATGAACCTTCTGGATAATCTGTAAGGTTGAAAAGTGAAGGTGATCAAATGTCCCTTTCTCTTATACAGGTAGGTATTTATCCAATGGAATATTTCCTTCTTTTTCAAACCCTAGAAGCAGCAGACATCTGCAAATCTCTAAAGACTTATATGCTATACTGAAGCATTTATAACCAGCTCAGACATTCACATTCCAAGAGTAGTCAGCCTGCTGTACTATGAACTAAGATTATTTTATTTATCAGCATTATCTATAATAATAAAAGGGTAATATGCTAATTAGACCAGACATCCTTCTGGATGTCATTCCGGACGTCCTTCCTGATGAAGCAGGGGTGGAAGGAAGCCAGCCAGGATTCTGGGTGCCTGCAGGTGGCCGGAGGGAAGCCAGCCCAGGTCCTGGGTGCCTGCTGGTGGCTGGAGGAAAGCCCGGGTCCCAGGTGCCAGAGGGAAGCTGGTGCTGGCAGCTGAAGGAAGGAAGGCCTACCCTTGCACAAATTTCATGCATCGGGCCTCTAGTCCTATCTAAAAAAGAGAAACATGGTAATTAGCCGTACCTCCGCTACCCTTCCCATTGGCTAATCACTGAGATATGCAAATTAACTGCCAACCAAGATGGCGGCCGGCAGCCAGGCAGCTGATGCGAACAGGGAGGCTTGCTTGCTCCAGTGATGGAGGAAGCCAGGTTCCCCGCCTGCCTTGCCGGCCTCTCAGCTGCTCTCTAAGAAACATTGTAACAAATATAGAAGCTAAACAAAACCCCAGAAACCTGCTTTAGTCAGCCGGGCTTCAGCCAGCCGGACCGCAACATTGTTTCAAATACAGAAGGTAAACAAAGGCCAGAAACCTGCTTTTAGCAGCCGAGGCCTCAGAGCTAAAGCTGGCCCAGAATTAAAAAAAAAGAAAAAAAGGACAGGTTGGGAGCTTCAGTCACCCGCCAGCCTGAAAACGGCCCTCAGCCCCTCATCCAGGCTGGCCAGGCACCCCAGTGGGGACCCCCACCCTGATCCAGGACACCCTTCAGGGCAAACCAGCTGGCTCCCACCCGTGCACCAGGCCTCTATCCTATATAGTAAAAGGGTAATATGCCTCCCAGCACCGGATCAGCAGAGCAGCGAGGGCTCCCGGCACCGGGATCAGTGTGACAGGGGGCAGCGACCAAGCCCCCTGATCGCCCTGCTGCTCTGTGTGTGACAGGGGGTGGGGCCACAACCTCCCTATCCGCCCTGCTCTGTTCGTGACAGGGGAAGGCGCCCCAACCCCCTGATCAGCCCTGCTCTGTGCCTGATAGGGGAGAGCTCCCCAACCCCCTGATTGCCCTGCGGCTCTGTGTGTGACAGGGTGCGGCGCCCCAACCCCCCCTCCCACGGGCCCTGCTCTGTGTGTGATAGGGTAGAGCCATAACCTCCCCATCGGCCCTGCCCTGAGTGTGACAGTGGCGGCGCCCCAACCCCCTGATCGGCCCTGCTCTGTGCGTGACAGAGGGTGGCGCCGCAACCTCCCTATCGACCCTGCCTTGAGTGTGACAGGGGGCGGTGCCCCAACCCCCCAATCGGCCCTGCTCTGAGCCCGACCAGGGGCTGCACTTAGGAATTGGGCCTGCCCTCTGCCACCCGGGAGCAGGCCTAAGCCAGCAGGTCATTATCTCCCGAGGGGTCCCAGACTGCGAGAGGGCACAGTCCGGGCTGAGGGACCCCCTCTCCCCCCCCACCCCGAGTGCACAAATTTTTGTGCACCAGGCCTCTAGTCTAATCTATAATACTGGCTGGTATTTGACTTAAATAGCTGTGATGTCAGTTCCACATTGTATGGCTTTAAATGGAATGTTTTGGGTCTTATTACTCACAAAATTACCATGTCTTGCTGTTATTTTACTGGACATATTTGAGATAGTTATTATCATATTTTAGATGTTGGTGTTTCTAAAGAGGAATGAAGTATCTAGAAAATAAGTGCCTTTGGAATTAACAACCAATATCATTTATAGTACATACAAATGTTTTTGTTTCCAACCCCCAGCCTTTTGGGTGCACAAAGTGAACTCTGAATCACTTTGCTTAATGTTCAGACAATCATTTTCTTTATACTCCCTGCATACAAATGAACTTGGCACTTTGAGATTTAAAATAAAGTTGACATTTCTTGACTGTTACAGTTTCTGCTTAGTACATTATACTTTATGAAATCAGTGTGCCATTCAGAGTGCTCCAGTAAGTGTGAGGTCTGGATTTCAGAAGATAGAGGTTATCCAGGGTATGTTACCCTCACCCCAGTAAACCAGGTAGATTCCAGACACAAGGCTGCTTTCTTCCAGGAAGAGTGAGAAAGTAAAAGTGGCTCAGAGAATGTCTTTGGAATCAAGGCTTCATAGTGGGTATAGCATTCTGTTTTGTCTGAAATCCCAGATTTAGAGTATTCTTGATCTAAAGTCTGAACAGAAAGCAACTATATTCGACCTGCTCTTCAGTGAAGGACAGAGAATAACTCGTTTGTCAAATAATTGTAAATCTCTAGTCATTCAATAAATGTTAGTTGTACTCTTGGAATCAAACAATGATTTATATGCAACCTTATTTTGCTAAGGATGCAGAGAATAATGAAATGAAAGTGATAAGCTCTCTGACCTTAAGGAATTGCTATTCAGTTCCTTACCATCCAAACTTTATGTTTGAGCCAGTTACTTTTTCATCAGTTAGCGTGAGGTCCTGTTCATTATTCATGATTTTTCTTGTACCTTCTCCCTCTTCATTCCTTTCCACCAACCCACATCCTATATAATCTTTAAGACACAAACTTTACTTCCTCTGTAAATCCTTTCTTACCAGCCCAACCTACAGGAATCACTCCCCTTTGAATTCCTATAGCACAACCTTTATGGTTCTACTCATTCAGTCAAACATCATATCTTGTATTGTGTTTTGTCAGGCAAATTTTCATGTATGTGTTTTATCTCCCCAAATAGATTTCACAAATGTTAGTCTCTCCCTCTCACCTCTATAACCAGCCAGACATGCTCCCCCAGAATGGTACTGCCTCCTATCTGTAGGAATGAGAAAAAATAACCTTGTGGAAAAGAACCATGCACCTAATAATTCCAAACATTCTATATAATAAAAACCTAATATGCAAATAGACCGAATGGTGAAATGACAGTGGAATGACCAGTTGCTATGATGTGCAGTGACTACCAGGGGACAGACACTCAATTCAGGAGCCACCCCCAGCCCACAGGCCCAAGACCAGCCGAGGTGGGTGCCTGTAGGGAGCAGGGCCGGCTGGCAAGTGGACCAATGCTTCCCCCCCCCCCCAATCACCCCGCTGGTTGCCTCCTACAGAGGGAGGTGACTGGTGGAGGTGGCGAGGGGCAGGGCCAGTGAATGGGTGGCACCAGGCTGGCCAAGGCGGGTGCCAGTGGGGGACCCCCGATTGCCCCACTGGTCACCCCACAGATCAGCCCTGATTGCCCTATCCATGCACAAATTTTGTGCACCGGGCCTCTAGTATAATCATAAGTATATTACTCACCGGAAGATCAAGTTGGTAAGATATTAGCATAGGCTTAGGTATCTTGAACTGCTATCTAGAAATATCGTAAAGAATTGACTGAGACTAAGGACTCTTTTATATCTACTTATTGCTGCTATGTATGGGAATAAATAAGGTCCATTTGGTGCCCTTGAAGAAATATATTCTTTGAGGTAGAAAGCATTAATTTAACTTAGAACCTTGCCTAAATCTTGTGGTAGTATTTTAATTTTCCTCATGCATAATCACAGAGGTCTGGTTAGGCCTCAACAAATTAACTGATAAGGTAATTTTTTCTTCAATCAAGAGTCAATGGTTGTCTGAATGGGAGGTGATTGCACAGCCCAGAGATGCTTTTAAAAAACTAAGCTCTTGATGTGAAAGGTCTCTTATCTCAGAACCAGTGCTGTTGTACATAGTATGTATTTGGAAAATCTGAGTTATGATGAGGAGACAGGCTCCTATCAATCCTCTAAAAGGTATAGGGCAGTGGTTCTCAACCTTCCTAATGCCGCGACCCTTTAATACAGTTCTTCATGTTGTGGTGACCCCCGACCATAAAATTATTTTTGTTGCTACTTCATAACTGTAATTTTGCTACTGTTATGAATCATAATGTAAATATTTGATATGCAGGATGTATTTTCATTGTTACAAATTGAACATAATTAAAGCATAGTGATTAATCACAAAACAATATGTAATTATATATGTGTTTTCTAATGGTCTTAGGCGACCCCTCTGAAAGGGTCATTTGACCCCCAAAGGGGTCGAGATCCACAGGTTGAGAACCGCTGGTATAGGGATTAGAGCAATATCTGTCATAGGATGGAAGTGTGTTTTGATAGGAGTGTCAATTATCTTCCTAAAACAAGATTTTTCTCACAGCATGCTCCTTCTCAAAAACCATTATAGTTTCTTATCATCCATAAAATAGAGTTCTTAGTCTTATATCTAAGGACCTACCTGATCTGACACCAATTTACCTGCTGAATTAATCTAGTAATAATCTTCCATAATGCAAGCCTATTTTGGAAAGGTTGCAGAATACTGAAATAAAGGTGAGAAGATCGCTGACTTTAAGGAGTTCCCATTCATCCCCTGCCATTTAAACTCTAGGCTACATTCCTCATATCCCTTGTATTTAGTTTGGAGTGACAGTACAATCTGTACCGTCTTCCTCTTCATTTCTTGCCGCTAATTCTAATCCTATGTAATATTTAAGGCCCAAAATCTACTTCCTCTGTAAAATCTTTCCTGACTAGCCCAGCCCATAGGAATCACACTCTCCTTTGAGTTCTTATAGCACAAACATTATGGTTCTATTTATTTGGTCATAACATATCGTGTACTGTGTTTTGTTAGGCAACTTTTCATGTATGTGTCTTATCTTCCCAAATAAATGTAAGATCCTTGAATTCAGAGAAAATAATGCATAACTCCCCTTATGGGTCCAATGTCATACCTTTAATAAATATGCTCTCAACAAATACT